AACACTCCTCCCAATGCACATCCCTCTTCTGATCTCACAGACTTGAGCCAACGGTTGTTGGCATAGTTTATGGTTTCGCTTCCCCAGTGCGTGTCATCTACGCAGGGGCCATGCTTATCTGCCATGTCACCAACACTCCAAAGCTTACATGGTGCATGGCCGGAATGAAAAACTGTACAGCAACTCAGTGCCCGCTAGCTAAGCTTAGTTACGACCATCCCAAAAGGACAAGAACAGCCTGCCTGGGCCCTTTGCCTCTTGCGGTGTGCCCCGTACACCTTGGCCCCTTGCGGCTCATGTTCTTTTTTCGAGGCTCGATCACTTTTTGGTTCCAGTGAACACGGATGGTCCAGGCACACGTAGAGTTGCACACAAAAGAGCACTTGACTGCAGCTGCTGGACTCTACCTTCGGCTAACTACAGCACACATCATTAACGGTAAATATACACTCGAACACCCATACGGCATCGCGTACACGTCTCCAGTGTATCTGCTCCCCAAAGTAATCCCCAGCACCGCAATGCGCGGACGCCATGATTACAGAGATTGGTACGTAGTGCATACGTGTCAAGAATAATCGTTCGACTCAAGAGTGTCCCCACAAGGCTCTGCCTAGCGCAGCATCAGCATCTCACGCATAAGTTGCAAACGAGCTCTAGCTAACACTTTCGTCAAGGCATCTGCAACCAGGGTTTCTCCTGCCTCGTGTCGAATGGAAATAGGCGCCTGCGCAATCTGATCCCGAATCCAACTCGCTCTCAAAGCAAAGTGACGTGTTCGCCAGGTCACCCGGTTGAAAGTGGCATTCGTAATCAGGGTCACAGCGCTCGAGTTATCGCAAACCATCTCAACAGTATGCAACAATCCCGTCAACTGATCCACTATCTCCTTCAACTTCAAGGCGTCTTGCAAACCTGTTGCTGCTGCCTCGGTCTCTCCCTCGCACACCGACCACGCCGTGAGCTTCTGGCGTACCGACCGCCATGACACTATGTCCGCCCCAAGCTTCAGGACCACTCCTGTACGCGACCGACTCCCCTGAGCAGCGAAGCTACAGTCACTGTATGCTGTAATAACCGTATCACGCGATCCAACAAACTGCATGCTCAACCACAGAATCTTTCTGACATACTTCCAAACGGCTTTGATTTTTTCCAAAACATACTCTGGACACAACACAGTCAAGCACGCCAGCATGGAAACAACGGTTTGAATGTCCGGCCGAGTCCTCATCGCCGCCCACATCAAACTTCCAATGTCACTCTGACACTCTCTGACCTGTTGTGTGTACCGTTCGGTCTTCTCGGCTGGTACCTGGGGCGCGTCATCCAAATTGGGCAATGAAGGTGATCCCCGAAGCTGGGCAAACCCTCGGCGATGAAGCTCCTGTGCCAACCACCTGTGCTGGTCTAACTGAACTCCCTGATCATTCAGAGTAATGCGAAGCCCCAGGAACACAAACTCCCGTACCTTCGGAACAACCATGCTTCCTCGCTGAACCTTATCCGGGATGTTCCAGCCAGCCCATGATGCCTTGTACAGTTGCTCTCCAAATCTCAAGCACATACTCCAGCACACGCGTCATGGCCTCCTGGTTCCCAATGCACAGCCCATCGTCAACGAACATAGTCGTGTATCCCATGAGCCGACCCTCAGAAACTGTCACAACGCTCCACAACCCAGGAATATCAGGATGAGCCTTCAGCATCAAATCCCCACATACGTCCAGATCCTTGGCCTTAAGGATCTTGCCATCCAACTTGGACCCACGCTCAGTTTCCCAGTCTCTGGGAGCACGCTTCAAACCGTAAAGCGACTTATCCGGAACCAGCAAGGTATCAGGGTCAAAATATCCCAGCTTCACAAGGACACCCGGTGGCTTCATGGAAATCTTATGCCCCTTCTTCAACCAGGAATTCAAGAAAGCCGCTGAGATATCAAACGCAAAGCCAGCCCAATCGTGATGGCTCGCCCATGCATGTACAAGATATCGCAAAGTGTCTGCGTCAACATTTTGGCTCGACAGATCCTTTCCCGGCTCCTCCTCAAAATTGCCACAGGCCACAATACGACACTTGGCCTTGAACGAGGCCAACTCCGCAAGCTCTGCTAGGGCCTGCGCCGACATCCCCGACATGTCTTCGTCGCTGATTCCTTTGGGAATCTGATCGCTTACAGCTACGTCCTGAGTCCCGTCACCTCCTTCAAGAAGTGGCTTGCGGGTGAGAACCAACTTCATAGGCAGCGGAGGTGGAACGTACTCCTTTTCCCCCAACCCCAAAGTCTCCCTGACTTTGGACTTGTGGCACTCCCGCCACACAGACTTGGTCTCCATGTTGCTCAGCTCGCCCTCAACAGCACCAATCCACTTCTTTTGAGCAGCTTCGCTACCTGAGCTCAGCACATCATTCCCAACAGTCTCGACTGTCAGCTGTTTTTTCGGCCAATATGGCCGCCAACCTTTCACTGTCTTCGATTGCTTGCTCCTCATCAACTGACAAGGCCACGTACTTGTGATCCGTTGTCGCAGCACATGCTTTGGCTGTGGCGGCATGTACTGCTGGATCCGGCACTGCTTCAGTCTCGGGCGGCATGAGAAAACCATGATTGAAGTCCTTAAAGTTCACAGCGCTGGCCAAGCCTTGCAGACCGCCCTCTGCCATGAGCTCCGGCTCCTCGTCCAACGCAGGGCCGAGCATACGCTCTTCAAAGGTGAGCACGCCACCATCTGGCGGAGCGTCCCATCCAATCTGCCCATTCGAGGACACCCGCACCGACCTGATTCAGGGTGCGTATGAATCTTCCAGCGCGGTCGTGGCTCGTTTGCCAGCCGGGGACAGTATGTCCGCACCACAGTCTCACGACCGCCACGCGTCACAAGAACCAAAGGTGCATTTGACACTCGATCATCATGACAGACGAACCTTGCCTTTTCTGCCTGCGGCTGAAAGTCCGCACTCTTCTCAAACTGAAACAGCACTGCGTCGCCCATGCTCGGCGCGTCTGCTGGTATGCTGCCGTGCAAGGTCATGTGACGTTGTTTGTAGGCGTATTCACGCATGGCCATGTACCAGAACCGAACAGGGTATCGAGCATGCAATAAAAGCGATATCGTGCCCATTTTCAGCCTTTGGACGTACCGCTCGGCACGTCCGTTGGCCTGCGGACAGTACGGCGCCGACATGGTCTGCCACACGCCCAGTTTGCTGGTCATCTGTTGAAATTGAGAGCCAGAAAATTCTCCGCCCCCATCGGAATGGATCCTCACAAGCTGCGCTGCCTCTAGGGAGTAAAGTCTAGCAAGGACTTGTGCTGTAGCTTCGGCAGCCTCTTGGGCTGTTTTACGTCGTAATCCCATGGTGTACAGGAGTGACTTGCCTGATCCCAGGGTGTAGACCCCCGCAAGAGCGTAGCGGAAGCCTTCAGCGCTCGGGATGTGTGGGCCAGTAAGATCCAATGACAACACAGCATCCTTGACGTCCTCAGGATTCAACTGCCTATGGGGCCGCATTCCCCCCCTTCCCTCTCTGCGCTGCGAACAGGAGACATCATACAAACCAGAGTGACATTTCTTTTCCAGCTCCGCCAGTTAAGCCTCATACGCGGCTTGATCCCATCCAGACGCATGCTGTGGCTCTGACTCATCCACTTCGCAACCTTCGGCCAAGAAAGACATGACCTGCTTTGCTGAAACCATGGCGGCGGGGTCGATGCCATCTGGCGTTTCACCGAAATCCGAAGTTTCATCCCCAGAAACCAACCCCGAATCATAAAACCCCATGTCCCTGCCTGAGCGACCCTCCAGGTCCTTACTACCAGAGGTCTCTCCAGGTTTGGGTTCCTTGGGCTTTGGGATCTGTTCGTGAGGGTGATGCTGAGCTGGTGTGGTGAGCTGTGGTGGTGCTGATGTTTGTAGCTGGGTATCGTCTGTGCCGCTGCGGCAATCAACGCTGGTGCTTTGGCTCTTCCTGACCGGGAAACCCAACTGCTGAAGCCTTTCGCGCGTGTCGTCTGTCCACTGGCGATGATGCTTGGGAGTGTATGCCACGGCAACAAGTCTTCGACCATCAAACGCTTCCGTACCGTGCCACTTCGACCCATCGAACTGCACAACACCATCCTTCAAGGACACACACCTTCCAGCGACTGGATCCTTCCCTTCACAAATTACTCGCAACTCCGATCCGCTCGGATCCTCCAACCACAGATCGCCTCCACTGTACTCAGTAAAGGTCGTGATGTACGTCGGACAATCTTTGGCGTTGTTATCCCTATGTGGCTTGAAAGCAACGGAATCCAACACCGCCACGGCTCCAAACTGTCCTTCTGGAACCTCCTGACGAAAGTACCTTGCCAAAAGCCGAGCCAGTAAAGGATGTTGTTGCGTTGCTTTCGTGAGTCCAGGCATCGGACCATGGGCAAAACCTCCGAAGATCCACGCTCGAATCTTCCCTCCTTCCAGGGTCCTTCCCGCTCTGGCTGTCCGGGTGGGTTCCAAAGCTGCCAGGTCCAGTGCTTTCTGAATGTCCGCCTTGTCGATCACACGTTTATTCAGGATTTCCTTGATGACGTGTTCATACGCCACCTCAGCGAACATCTCACAACCATGCATCTCGAACTCAGCAGCCTCCAGGAGGTCTTGAGAAATGAACAAGTTGTCCGCCTGCTCATTCTTGGCCAGTGCCCTCGCAACACGGATGCGTCCGTCTGAAGATTTCCAGTGACGGGACAACACCTTTCGCAGGACAGCAAAATCAGTCCATGTCATGTATGGTAGCCCATTTCGAACTCTGCACCTCACTTTCCTCAGGAACCCCTGATCAGGAAACAACAACGTAGCTCCTTGATTGGTCCAATGAAACGCTCCACCAACTTCAATAACACGCATCACACCCAAGATCCATTCTCCGCTGGATTCTGGATCACCGCTTTCTGCTGCAGAAGAATCGGACTGAAGAACAACCTCGCCGTCCCGTGTCCGAAATCCTCCCACGACTTCGCCGGATGCCAACACAATACGCATGGCAATGGTCCCTTTCCTGCTGATATTGCTTCTGTAGCGCCGTACCACCTCATTCGCCCCAGAGTCAACAAGCACTAGAGCATCCTCTCGCTGCCCTGTAACTCCAGACGTGGTGGCCATGCTTGCTGTGGCATAACCTCCCTGTGGCTCTCGACTGGATGCGGAGTCATCGTCTGAACCTGTCGACCCAACACCCTCTGCGCGCAAACCTGACTGACTTGCTAATGCCGTGCCCGGATTTTGACCTGTCTGGACTGTCGATGATGTACCAGGGTTTTGCACCGCCTGTCCAGCGTCTTGCACCACCACATTCTGCGGCGTAGGAACTGTAGGAGCTCTCGCTGGGGGAAAACCATCCAGATCAGGGTTGCCAAAACGCTCAGCATAACCGCGCGATCCAAACACCGCCTCCTCCTGATCAAGAATTCCTCTCAAATCCTGCGCAGCCTCTCGCAATGGTCTCATGATGCCCAAAAGGGCTTGGAACTGCCTCCAAGGCCGGACTCGCGGAGACACCTGATGATTTGCAAGAGCCAACATTTGTTCCTGACCAGTATCCGAGTCCAATATATGCACTAACACAACCGGCCGGATGATGTTATCAGCATGCTCACAAAGCACCTCTCGCGCACTCATCACAAATTGTCCAGGACCAATCTGTTCGCCTTGTATGGGAAAATCAAAATCCAGCTCTTGAAAGAGAAGCCACAATCCACGTGCCACGTCGTATTGACCTGTGGACTCCTGAAACTCTCTCGCAGCTCTGCAGATCACTTGTCGTGGCCTAGACCAGTACACGAACTCAGCCGGCGTAAGAACCAAGTACCAAAGTCTGGGGGCAACAACTTGGCGCGGCGGCTGATCAATCTCCTCCTCGCTTGCTGGCTCCGAAGGCGATCCCAGGCTAGAGGTCGGCGCGTCTGAACCCGGCTCAGAACGGCCCATGCTTGACAATTCAGACCCTGACTCATCTGCATCCGCCTCACGCGCTGATTTCACCACCGCCACTGCCGAGGCTGCCACGGCTCCTGAACCAACCAACGCCATCTTTGCTTCTGCAGGGGCTGCAGCCTTTGCTTCGGCCTTCCTCTTGGCCTTTGCTTCCGCCTTGGCTTTGGCCTTGGCTTCTGTGGTCACCGCAGCATGCTCCTCTGTACCCTTCTTTCCTGGATTCTGGCCCTTGCCCTTTCCTTTGCTCCCTTTCAAAGTGGCATGCAAATGAGGACACGCATCTCCATTCAGGCAGCCTCTCTCCAGTTGAAAATAACCACAGGGGATCTTGCTGGTATCCCTGGGCCCCTTCTCGCCTTTTGCCCCTTTTGCTCCCTTACCGGAGCTCTTGGCCTGAAACGCAGTGGCGCCTTGACCGTCCTCGTCAAGTACTTCGTTGCCTCTCCTGTTGCGCGCCACCTCATCTTCGGCCTGCATGCGACGACCCTCCTGAACCAACGTAGTCAGCAGCCGTTGCACTCCGGCCTCCGAGGGAACAACCACTTCGGGAGTCAATTTGATCAAGTTGAGTCTCATCGCCAGGGAAGAATGCTTTTTCTCCAAGTTTCTGGTGAGTCCCTCCAATGAACGAATAATCTCATGCGCTGCAATAGGAGGCAATTTCAAGTACTCGGATCTGCCCTTGGCCAATTCAAAACGCCGAATGGTATTCAAAAGTTCCTTGAACGTCCCTGCTGTCGGCAACGCGCGTTGGAACTGCAACAAAGACGTCATCTCTGCCGCACCACCTGGCGAAAAACGTTCCATGACTGCTTCCAACAGAAGTAATGTTGACACTAGATGTTCCGCACCCTGATGTCGTTCCATCACTGGCTGTCTGATGGTCGCCGGAAGGTTCTTGATCAGCATGACCCCCAGCCGGGTTTCATACTCTCGCTCCTCCTCAGGAATCAGAGGTACTGGCTCCCCCACCGAAGTCGCCTGTCTCCTTTGATATCTTGCCAAGGCTTGCTGCATCCGCAGCCGAAAGAATTGTCCGAACGTACCTGCAACTGCAGAAGCGATGGAGCTTGTCTGGTTCTCCCATTGTCGTAACGCCAACCCCAACTCCCAAGGTTCACCTTGGGTCAGCTTCAGAGTCGGACAATCCTTGAGCAACTTCCAATTTCCAGGATGCACCTTTTCCAATGCCATCTTCGGCACCGCAGGTGGCGGTCCCAGTCCTGGAGGCTCGGCTTGCCATCCGGGTTGTGGCCAACGAGTAGGCTCGGGCCAATCGCTGCTGTACCAGTCGTCGTCGGCGTTGTGCAACGTATCTCCAGCGTCAGGGGACATCTGATGCCACACCGTCCCTCCAACGCTTGATTTCGAAGGTCTCGAGGTAGGATGCGATGTTGGAACCTCGCCTCCAACCTCAGCTTGAGATGTCATCTCATGCAACGCACCTGAGGTAGCCATAAGGTCACGCTCCTTCATGGCCGCCTCGATTTGATCACATCGGCCCCGCAATTTCTCAGACACCTGCTCCAGCATCTCGATCCTATGCAAGGCGCTCTTCAACCTTCTGTCATCTTCCTTCATCTGAGCCGTAGTCTGAGAGACGTCCGCTCCCATCTGACCCAGTTGCGCTTTCACATTCGCCACTTCTGCTCCATACTGCTGTAACGACTGCTGTAGGGCGTCAGTGGCGGTTGCATGGTTTCCCCCTGATCCTGAGTTCTGGTCCTGCATAGTCCCCAACAGGCCCTGCATCAAAGATTCAAGGGTCTCAATTCGTGGATCCACATTGTCACTCACATTTCCGCGACTCTCCAAAACCTCCAAACGTCGTTGAAGATCCTGCAGAGACTTCTGCTCTTCAGACTGCACATCGGCAATCCTACTGGTCCTTCGTTCCAGTTCCATCGCACCATCTCGCACTCCGGCTGACGCTTGCGCTAAAGCCTGGATGGCCGCGGCCACGTTCTCAGTCCTTGAAGAAATTTCATATGCCAACGTCTGAGTTGCAACCCTCATCGTATCCGCGTCCGGAAGACTCTCGAAGTTGATGCTTGCGAGCTGCTGCAGGCGCGTCAAGATAGCCTCAGGGATCGTCACTTGTGCCAACGAGCGTATCCATATCTGTCCGTCCGAAAGCTGCTGCTGCTGCTGCGAGGTTGTGGATGTATGTGGAATGTCTGCACGGGGTGCTTGGGCAGTGTTTGGGCTCATCACCTGTTCTTGGTGATGTGGGGGATCGGGAGTGTTACTGACTAAGCTAAAATGGCTGGGATTCGGGGAGGCCTCAAGAGTACGGAGTCTGCTTTGACGTATACTCCAGGGCACGTCGTCCAAGTAATCATATGACATTACGAGGTCCCGAGGCTCATTCTAGCCCACTAACACTCCTCCCAATGCACATCCCTTTTCTCATCTCACAGACTTGAGCCAACGGTTGTTGGCATAGTTTATGGTTTCGCTTCCCCAGTGCGTGTCATCTACGCAGGGGCCATGCTTATCTGCCATGTCACCAACACAGTGCACTCATAATGTCATAGAGTGATGACGACAGCGACGAAGATCATGCAGGAGCCTTGTTCGATTCAGGTCGGCACCCCTTATTTCAGGTCAGAATTCAAGCCATTTTGCCTGTAATTATCCATATTCTTCTCCACTTCCTTCTCCATCATAGTGATTTCCAGTTCCAGGACCCTAGTCAGAGTTTCAGTTCCAGACCTGGGCAACGGACCCGCACGCTTCAGGACATTTTTTATAGGCTGTGTATGGGGTGTAGATAGGGTTTATGCAGGGTTTTTATGCGTCCGCGCTCCGCGTTCTCAGCCCCACCCCCCCCACCCCCCCCAAGCCCCCCCACCCCCCATGGTATGGTCCCCTTCTGGGAATAAGCCATATCTCTATCCTCCCGGAACCATGAACTCTCCGTAAAACCTTTCTAAAACCTTCTTGCAAACATCCTATAAAGCCTCACCACAGGACCCAGACCACAGCACCACAGGGGGGTACCTTAATAAGCTTCCACTGAAGACTCTATGACTCTACGAACCCTCCAGAAAACTCTCTAACCTTTTGCAAGCCGTCTACAAAAGCTATAACCCCCAGTAAACCTTCTATTACGATTTATACAAAATTTTTCATAAGCCCTCTAGACAATCTATTTCTAGAAGATATGTATAAATCCCATGTAGAAAACTCTATCAAGCCTTTAGAAAGCCTCTAGACCCCTTCAGAAAACGTCTTGAGGCCTCTAAACACTTGCTATTGAAATAGTGAGCGGTCTGCAAACCTTCTTTAAACCGCATAGAACCCCTTTATGAGCATTATAAGCTTCTATAAACTTAATCTAAACCTGTTAATTAAACCACCAAACCCAGACCACAGGACCACAGGACCACAGGACCACAGGACCACAGGACCACAGGACCACAGGACCACAGGGGCGGCAACCGCATAGAACCCCTTTACAAAAAGTATAAGCTTGCATAAGCTCAACCTAAACCTTTCAATTAAACAAGCAAACCCAGACCGCAGGACCACAGGACCACGGGGGGGGGGTAGGTTCATCATATTCTATATCATGGACATGATGGACCATACCATGGGGGGGAGGGGGGGAGGCGGGGGAGGGGAGGGGCCCGTGAATGCTGACGCGTATATAGGCTCTTTAAGAGTTTGGTGAGGTTAGCATGGCTCAGGGTTCGGGCTTGCGTCATGTTGTGGATTGAGGACTCAGGGCTAAGAATTGGGATTGTGGGAGGGCTGGGGGATTCATGCTGTGGAGTTAGCCTGGGACTTTATACGGTTCGGGGTTCGGAGCTTCATTTAGGGTCTGGCGTTGGTTGGGAATTTAAAGGCTTGAGGCTTGGGGTGCTTTAGGGTTGGAGGGTTGGGTTTCAGGGTGGAATTCGAGTTTTGCGTGTTGGGGGTTTATGACTTAGGCTGCCCTCAAATGGGTTTGAGGCTTGGGATTGCGGATTCACTGACGGAGGTTTGGCGTTCCGGGTGGGAGTTTCGGATTTGGATTCAGGCTTGGGGATTTGGGGATCGGGTTTTGGGGTTTGGGTTTAGGGTTTGGGATAGGGGTTTGGGCTTTAGGGTTGGGGACTTATGGTTTGTCTGTGGAGGGCTGGCGTGAAACCCCGAATCGGCAGTTCCTGTTGGCGCGAAGTGCCGTTGACCCGAAATAGCGGACCCGAAACGTACACTTCCCGATCATGAAGATGCTGCTGCTGATAGTAGTGTTTGCGTTGCGCTCGTGTCAATCCGTTCAACGATGCGTCTGTCGTCCTTCAGCCTGTTGTAACCCAGCTTTCGCTGCGTCAATGCCTCGCATCTGCGAGGCATTGAAGCAGAGCAACAGCCTCCTGCACAGAAAGGCAACGCTGCTTGTGACCCGAATGCTTGTAGAGTAGAACAATGCAGCCAGGTCGGAAGGATTTCCAGAGCCGCAGCAGAGGTACGAGATGGCTTTCAGTGTGCTAAATGTAAATGCAAAAAGGACACAACGAGAACTATGCTGCTATGCTCTTTGACTCCCGGAGGTGAGACGGAGCACCGACCATGCTGCGCAGGTACTTCGACGCATGAAGTGAGGTCTGCGAACGTTGCTGACAAAGCTTTGGGGACCCCCAGCCCGCATCAAGCGTGAATCCGGCTCAATGAGAAGGGCCACCGCTTTCTGGTTTCTCTGCCAATGGGCATATGCCACCTCGAAGAGGTCGCTTGCTGGCAGAGTGCCGTGCTTTGAGCCAAGTTGAAAGGCAACATTGCATAGGCAGAAGGACTAGCAGGGGAGTCTGAGATCCTTGGGTTGTGCAGGGACATCTGAACGCATGATGTTCCCATTGCATGTTGGGTTCAGAGCGCAACATGAAGACGCATGCAGCAGCTAAACTCAGAATTGCTCACCAGCTTGTGGCAGCTCACTAGGTCACTAGGGAGTTCCATTCAAGCTCACGCAGCTCAGTGGAAGCCAACACAGCGGTATGGAAAGCCGCGCTGAACAGAAGACTTCTGACGCATCTTGACGCCACGCCACGTGTGCGCGAGACTGGTGCCCTTGGGGCGAGGTGGCTCTTCTGGTCTCAGCAGACTACTTAGGACCTTGTGAATTTCTGCATGCATGACCTCCTTCTTGAGGCCATTGAGGCCATCGGGGCCGAAGTGCCATGGGAGGGACCAGCTCGCAGCCGATTGATGCGCTTTGGCGAAGAAGTTCTGACTGCCTGCGGGCCTGCAGGGTCGTAGCTCTCAATTGCTCAGGTTCGGGTCACCGACCGGAAGAGTCTCACCAAGGACTCTTGCTTACTTGCTTCCATTTGGGTTGCTTGAAAGATGTGTGGGCAGTGGGAATGAAGCAGGCAGCATCTTGATTCGTGATATGTTATATATGCAGATCAAGGGGACAGCCCAACTTCTGACTGGAGACGAGCGCCACCCTTTGTCTGCCTCAGCCTGCCAGGAGCTGTGCCTGCGGCGCAAGGATTACGAGTCCATGCAGCATAGGTATTGTGTCGCTTGGATGCAGTGCAGCAAGGTTGCTTGTATCAAATGCTTGAGCAGAGGTAGCCAAGAAGTATTGCAGGTGGAGGAGCTGACTAACAGCCAGGAGAACAGCAGAACCAGGACACAGCCTGTAGCCTGTGCCACGCAGAAAGCGAAACATCTCTGTGCTACCTGCTACTCTTTGTGCTGTTTTTATTTCGCAGGATTGCTCACCTGCTTCATCGAGCAGCAATCCGTGACCCGGAGATTTGCAAGGGCGGCGAAAACTCGCAGGTCTTCATGGAGGCTGCGCACGAAGCGAGCATGTGCCGCAAACGGGATGAGTTCGCTTGAAGGCTGGCATGCTGCCCTTGGTCATCTCCTTCCTGTTTGGAGGGGCGCTGATAAGGTGTTTCGAGGCACTTTTGCATGTGGCACAGTGCCTCATTGTGAAGGCGACGAAATCCAATTAAGCAGGTATGCCCATTGTGGTTCGTGATCTACTACAAGACATTGGACCAGGCCAATGCGACTTCGCTTTCGGCAAATCAGGAAGCACATTGTTGTGAGGTCTTCTCAAAGATCGACAAGGGCTTTAAACAGTGCACCATCTTGTCAAGGGTTCCCAGGTTGTACCCCCAAGGTCGCGACCCTGTAGAGGTTCCCCAATATTGCCCGAGCCTATGAGGTCTCCGAATGTGCCGTAGAAAGCTCAGGGTACAACCCTAGGGGTACAGCCCTGAAACCTTTGCATAGAGTCTGATGTTGTAGCAACGCAGACTTCAAGGTACTACGGCCAGTCCCTCCACTTGGAGTACGCTCGCACGGACTGGTCTCCGGTACATGTGGCTGAGGCTCGACCTCCAGTCTCCAGTGGCCGAAGTCCGAAAGCTCCCCAAAGCCGCTGCGGTAGTTTGGTTTTCGTCTATCTACTTTGGAGATCATTGCTGATCTCGTGGTTGTTGTGTTTTCTGGTCTCGCAGATTCTATCCCACTATATTCAGAGGCGGCATTGTGGATCGAGCCTTCCCGCTACGAAGTACGGCAGTTGCAGTAGAATTCATTCGGGGATTGCCCTCTTGAAGGCAGCATTTGCCAGAAGTGGCGTTCAGATTTGCCAGGCTGGAATCCGCATTGATCGGATCTTGATCGCGAGGGTGACAAGCCACCACGTGAACCACTGCACCAAGGCCTGGCTTTTTTAAGGGTTCTTCTTGTTTCGAGTATAGCTGAACATAGCTTACAGTGCTTACAGCTGGGTTCGGGTGTGGCCAGGTCTCCTACGGCTATGCCTACAAGCATTGATCTCAGAGGCCAGGACACCCAGCACTGTGCAAGAAAGCCTGCTGCAAAGGAGCGGGCAGTTCGCAGAGGATGAGAACGACATGGCAAAAGCAGAGGAAACACGGCTCAGTCCGGCTGAAGCAAGGAGTTCATGTTTCCTGGAGGAGCGAAAGGATCCCTTTGAGGCCAGCAGCCAGCAGTTTCACCCTTCCATCAGACCATGTCTGCCAAAATCCATTGTCCTTGACCCCAGCTGCCTCCTGCCAGTGCTCCTTCAAGTTCGACACTTACACGAGGGGGAAGTCCCGAAACTTTTGGATTCACAAGGATGGGGAGCTTCTGTGAAAATGCGTTTGGTAACTTTCCTCGTTTGAGTGAACTGGACATGCTGTGGCGGCTTGGTCGTCCTGCTCTTCAAGCGTTATGCTCTTCAAGCGTTGTGCTCTCCGTGTCAGCAATTGTAGTTCATCAGTGCCAGGACATTTGCCGATTTCATGGTGATGAGACGCGCGTGGCAGCCACGCAGAACATCACGCCTGTCTGCGTCAACGACCGCATCGAGGCCTGGCATTCACCTCGCAGAGTGTCGGAAACGAGGGGAGCCTGAAGGGTAGAGAAGTTGAGGCTCCTTTGATCAGTTATGTATGGCCATCAGACGAGAGTGCACAAAGTTGGCCGCAAATCAGACGCTGGAATGCCTGTGTTCAGATAACATCACAACTCTCATCTTAGGATAAACATTCAGCACATAGCATCTTTGGGCTTACTCTGCAGCTCCCAACCTCATCCTGCCAGATTGCCGTGAACCTCTTCAATGCCATGGGTTTAGTGGATGTCGATAAGGCACCGGGCGCCAGTTCGCACGGGTTTAGGTGACCGCATGCAACAATTTTGTTCTAAGCAGGTCGGTTGGCGGCCTCTGGAGATTTTCCCGATGCAGGCACGTTCCAGTCCAGTCAAGAAACAAGCAGCGCTCAGCATATGCAGCTTCAATTTCCAACAAACCTTTAAACCAGATTCACAACTCTCGGCTGCATCGTTGATGCTGCGCTATTGGGGAGGACCGAGAATGCCCGATCGAGCAGGAACTCTTCGATTGGTGCCTTGGAACCTGCAGCCAGTCTGATCGAGAGAATCCTTCGTAGAAGCAGGATCCTGCCACCAGGTACGACTTAGACTCCTTCCAGTCCCAGAGTGTGGAGAGGCAAACTGGAGCACCGATCCCTCACAGTATGGTAGCGTCTTCTGGCCAAAGACGCACATTCTCGCCTTAATTCCGCAGGCTGCAGATCCCGGACTTCTTCAGCCCACAGCTGATGCACATGTCTACAGAGTGACTCGGGCTCGAGATCATGTCATGCTACTTGTGCAGGCAGGCGAGTGTCTTTTCAATAGGTACGCTGGCATTGACGTCGCCGTCAGCCGCACGCGACTGCGAGCGGAAGCGCAGGGCGTCAGAGACTCTTTTGCCATCTCAGGCTGAGGGTCTTCCTTGGCTTTCTTGATCGTCTTTTCGAGGTTGTGCCGCAAGCAGACCGCATCCTTGGCTCACGCTTCGAGGCAGCTTCCAAGAGATTTCTTGAGCTCCTTTCAGGACTCTGTTTTCTGAGGTCCTGCCCAGGAGCAGCCCGATCATTCTCCCGCTGAAGCGAGTGGGTCTTCAGCATGATCGCTTTACCAAGATCCAGTTGCGTCAGGGCGACTGCATCCTTCTGTGCGCCCATGGAAGATCAGCAAGGGTTGCTCACTGCTCTACGATTCTCCAGTATCTTTGGCAGGTATATCAGCCAAGGAGGCAAAATGACCTGAGGGTGGCAGTGAAACCAAGAAAGAGTTGGTAGCCCTGCCGCCTTGGACCCTTACAGCAGGAAGCCTTTGGGCAGCCTGCCAGCTCAGCTACGCTCAGCTACGCTCAGCTACATGTAAGATACTGACTACACGTTTGGGCGGTTGTCTGGCGACTTCTGTGTCACCTTTCAATCGATGGTGCGAAAGGTCCACCGACTGACATCCAAGCTAATTCGACGCAACTGTCACGATGCGAAGTAATTATGTCTGTAGGGAAGGATAGGGCTCACACCAGCGATACTATTGTGACGTTGTATCCGCGGTGCACATCTCCAGGGAAGGAAACAGGGCGAGAGAACGCCTGCTGGAATTGGCAGATCGCCTGTATGCAACCACCTCCAAGAGATAGAGCACATCTGCGCCTAGCCGTCTGTTTTGCGAAAGATTTCCTTCGCCTGCTTCGGCAATTCTAGGAGATGGTGAAGCTGGAAAGGGGCCGACCTGGTCCTAAAAGCAGCGCTCGAAGAAAAAAACTGCGGTCCATGGATTGGCTTTCAGCTGAAATTCAGAAGCAAAAGACTCACAACGGGAAGGAGGCTTGTTGTGTTTGCCTTTGGCCGCTCTGAGCTGGTTGGGGCTGGGCCCCGTTTGGGGGCTTTTAAGCCTCGACTCGGGGCCTTGTAGAGTTCAGAGCCTCGCAGAGCCTCGGAGCGAGATGGCTTCCATTTTTGATGCGGCCGCCGCCGGAGACATCGCTGCCATGAACGGCTTCCTGGACCCCAGTGCTGTCAGCATGGCTTCGTGGACCTGAGCGAGTTCGCAGAGAGAGGCTTTGGTCATTAGCTCCCCAAAGAAAGACCGAGAGAACCGAAAAGAAGGAAACCGAGAGACAGGAAGGGAGGCAACACTAGCATCTCATGTTGCATCCTCTTCCTGCCCCGACGTCAATGCCCGTGGCCCGACATTAGGTAGATTGAAGATGTGGGCGGCACTTGCCGGCGAGCAAATGCATTGCCTGAAAGAGAGAGAGATAGAGAGAGAGAGTCGCACTCCGACTGTGGGGATGCAAGTGTGGGGTTGCAAGTTTCCTGAGGGGTAGCTGGTCGGTGGTGCAGTTTGTGGAGTGTGTTGTTGCAAGTGCATGATCCAGTAGCTCCTCAGCAAGAGTGGCCATAGTCATGTCGGCGCCAGTCAGAGCGAAGGCAAGGCCAAGTCACGCATGTCGACACCAGAGCGACAAGCATGCTCTCACCACCCTTATCCGCCTTATCCAGAAGCGGGGAGGCCTATATGCAGCCTGCAAGCGAACATGCTGTTGACACTATTACCGGACTGGGGCTTGCATAGTGTATGAAGCTTTGCTGTCTGCGTGGTGCTGCATATATTCGGTACCCGGAGCCTGGAGCAGTTCGCAATGCCTGGACCGTGCCTGCTTGGGGCCAGGGAGGGTATAGCAGTGAGAAGAAGAAGAGACGCCCTAGAGGTCAACCCATAGCCCGCACGAAAGAAAGAACCAAAGAAACGCCCGGGAAAGCCACCACGGCCTTCCCATAGCCCGAAAGAAAGAGAGAGA